CTGTCCCAAAATAAATAAAAAAAAAAAAAAGAAACTTCTTTATTCCTCCCCCAAACAGCCTTGTGAGATAGGTACTATTATTTTCCTTCTCCAAATGCAGAAATTGAGGAAAAGGAAGCATTAGCCCCTAGCCCAAGGGTCAGCAAGGTGAGCACTAAGATGTGGTCAGTGGACCAAGCCTCCTAGCAAGAAGCAAAGGGGAAGAAGGGAGATGAAAAATTTTGTAAGAACAGCTGTTTATTCTAGTTTGTGCTTAAAGCTTTACATTCTCATTAATGCTCACCACATCTCTGTGAGGGATGCACTATTTTATCACTTTTACAGATGAGGCTTGATGGCACACAGCTAGTCAAAATGCAAGGCTGAATCCCAAACCAGGTGCTTTTTACCTTGCTGTTACTTGTGCTTTATTGTATTCCTTGGAGCTAAATCAAGACCTGCCCATGGGGGAAGGGTTAGGGCACCACAGGGGCCTCTCAAGTTTCAAGTAACAACACCCAGATTTCTCTTAATGTGAAGGTCTATGTAAGGAATAAAAGCCAGGGCTCAGTGAATATGGCCACAGAGTCCCAACTCAGCAATTTAAATGATCTGAATCCATTGTTCTGGGGGTCAGGGAGAAGTAGCATGTCTTCGTGTAACGATTTTCCTCAACACCCAAGTAGAAATCTCATTTCAGTTTGAGTTAAGAATTGATTAAGGACTAAAATGTCAAATTGGGTAGAGAAATTCCTTTTGAAACCATACAAAAGGAAGCCCCCCCAAAGAAAGCACATTCGTCTGGTGTCTACGTCGGGGAAAGAGCTGCTCCTTTCTTGAGTGAATGTTGGACTAGACAAGCACGGATATTTGTGAGAAATTGCCTGGTAAGAGAGGGAAATGAAGGCAGGTGGCCTTCAATATATGGGAACAAAAGTATCTTTGTTCTTTGAAACTGAGGAGCACTGGTAACACAAACAATCTCTAATCACAGTTAATTCTCTTTTAAGCATCTGTTGTGAACTCTAGCAACCAGAGAGTGTGCTCTCGGATGGAGGAGGGCAGGGGGAAAGCTCCCCAAGCCCTTAGCGGTGAGCCCAGTGACCGATGGGTGAGCCAGCATCTTCAGGCAGCAAGCACTGTCCCCTCACACTGTGGAAAGAAAAGATGTTCCTCCCGCACCGCCCTCCCCCCCTCCCCCCCCCCGGCCCCCTGCTGGCCTCTCCTCTTCCTAACACTGCCTGCCTTTGGATAGGTGGGAAGAGGACTTTTCCTTGAGAAGAGTGGATGTGAAGAGGAAACTGAGTCTGAGAACAGGGCCAGCCTTAGACCTAAGCCATGTGAGCTTAGCCCCAGGTACCTGCGTTGCTGAGAAGCCCTCACAAGCCACACATGCCGTTTGTGGTCAGCTGAAGGCTGTCCGTTTAAGGTCAGCCGAAGTGCTATTGCTCCAAACCTAACACTGGTTATACACACAAAGTGAGCAAGCTAAAGCTGGAAAAAGGTTGAGTATCTAGGCTATTCCACTACAGAAATCATTTGGCTCTAACGATCTAGATATTATTTTAGGTGCCGTTTAACAAATAACCATCTAAGAAGGATCTTTAAAAAGCAATTTCTTTTCATTCCCTTTGCCTCATTGAAGTAGTGTTAGTTTGGGTGGTAAACAGAAACTTCAACAAGACAATAATTAGAGTGCATTAAATAAATATAAATTTTATTAAAAACACTCACATAGCGTTATCAGGAATGATATAATAATAAACGCTTTCAAATAACCTGCATCCATAACATTACAATACTTACAGTATTTATAACCATCCTCAGGTTTTATAGACAAACCAAACATGAAAATGAAATGAAACTAAGTCTTAAAAAAAGCATAGAAAAATGCACACAGAGTTCATTACCTTAGTGTCAAACTGCAAAAGTTTCCTACACAAGTTAACCACTAGCTTTACAAGTGAACTGTACATACACCACTGTGCGTCAGTCAAGATGAAAAGTTCATTCAAGTAAAGTTGACACCACTCAGAAGCATTTTCAAGTATGGCTATATAGTTAACCTGATATTCCTATATAAGCAAATTGGAGATCTGCTTCCATTCATTCTAACTGAGGCAGGTTGGATATTTACAATTATAGATCTGTTATTTACAATATACCATTCGGTTTCCTCTCCTCCTCCCTCCTTACCTCTCGCCAAACCCCAAGCTACACTTCTTGTTCTCTTGTTGGCCAGCAGTTTGACAAATGACAGTGGATGGTACGGAAACCAAACATTCATATAGGGATGGCTGACTCAAAACCAACAGATGTGCACGTAGTAATCAAATATTTGGGGTTAGATGTATGACATACGCAAAATATTAAAATCGTGTGGTTTGACATATGCAAAGCAAACATTTTTGAAATGTTTATCAACTCGTCACAGCCAAAAATGGGAAATTGTTTTTCATAGACAAAAATCCCGTTATAAAGACTTGACCAGTAAAACTCAAAGGCCTTGTTTGATTACGAATTTATTTGAAATGTTACTAAACACAAATGTACTTAGACAAAAATGTAATTGATCAATTGCACACCATACCCCTACGTGTTCTGCCTCTGCGGGGGATGTCCGCATGGGCCTGGACTCTATTGACTCCAGGATCGAAACATTTTATCTAGAGTGCTGACTCTAGCCAACAGCCACTTGCCAAACTCCTGCCTTACAAGTTTCCCTTTATCAACTCAGTGCATTCTATTTTTGTGTATTTTTTTTTTTTCCTGCTTGAGACAGTCAAAAGATTCCCCAAACTTTTAAAATGCTTTTCTTTACAATAAAAAGAGCCAACAGATTTACAAAATTAGTTTTAGTTACATCAGGACATATACAAGTAAAATAGGAGGGATTCAAAATAAAAGGGTTAAATCCCTGAAAAAGAATATATTTATTAACCTACAACAATTTTACATAAACACAGGTGACATGTTGGCATAAGGAGAACATGAGCTGAAATATCCCTGAATTTTTAGAACAAAAAGGATGAAGTTCAAGTTATACTTGCTAAGAAATCAAGTATTGAAAAAAGATATGCTTTTTTAATAATAATAATAAAAAGACTTGGAAAAAAATGATGGTACATGATGCTATAAGCTTTCATTCTCAGTTCAATATCCTATTGCCAAACTAGTGTTGAGGTATATGACAAGTAGGAACATCACCCAAACCTTTAATGAATTCTTAGCTCACATTATGATATATTTGTAGCAGGCTGAGTAGCACCATCATGATGTGAATTCTGCTTCAAATCCATATATATATATACACATATATATGTATATATTTAATTTTTTTTACAGTACTAAAATACTAAAGCATTGCGTTAAAAAAGTTTTGTTTACAATTTAATTTACTTACTATACATCTCTTTCACTTCTTTATACAAATTAATGATTTATAACCACCACAGCAAACCAGCTGCCTGTTTTTTTTTTCTTTTTAATTAACAGATTCACATGGAACTAACCCTGTTTATTATTCTTATGCAGGCATCAGTCTGCTCAATCTTCCTGGAAAAGAGGACACTTAAGCTAAGAAATGACAACATCACAATGTACAATTACCAACACAAAAGCAGACTGCCATTGGGTTTGCTGAAGAGCACACAGATCCATAAAATAGCATCAGCTTAAGTGAACTAGCTTTGTTAAGTCTGTAGCATGTCATTGTTAACCTGCAGTTAATAGAAAATTCTTAAAACTACATATTTGAGCAATGAACTTGTCATACAATTTTGTATAAAACTGTTTTACAGTATAGCATGTGAGATGAGCACCAGAAAACGTGGACTAAAGTTATTCCCTTGAATCCAGTAAGCCCCATTGTGGATTTAACTGGCTATATTAAAAATGGACACATTGCTCATCAGCAGATGCATGGCTAAAAGCAAAAATAGTTTAAAAGCTTTCCTTATTTCCTTAAAAAGAATCAACTTTGAATTCTAAAATGAAAGTAAACTTTTTTTTTTTTTTAAACATCTCAGTACCTTAGCATTGTTCAAGTTGTCAAAGCTTAGGTAGACAAAGTGCTTCTAAAACACCATTTAAAATATTTATACATATACATGTGTGTGCACATATACATATGTGTGTATATATATATGTACATATATACGTTTATTGTCCTACAAGGACTTTACTGGATGAGCAAAATCCAGAAGCCTTTAAATGTCCACATTAAAAAAAAAAAAAAAAAAAAAAAAAAAAAAAAAACCCAAAAAAACCAAAACCTCATGTAAGAATAGGTAATTATGATAAAAATTTGAATGAAAAGGTACCCCTGTTATTCAAGGGCATTGGAGTACACTGATAGAATCTTGATGATATAAAGGCATTAAATTTTCAAATGTTAAAGACACCATTTTCTTAGCACCATTTCTTAAAACATCCAAACAAATTCAGTGTTTTGCTGTCTATTCATTTATGCTTCCTGTAGCTATTTTGATAAATAAAAGTTAATATTAAGATTACAGTAAAAACTGCATGTTAAAAAGCCATAATTCCAGTATTTCAGTACATTGTATATTCAGCACCAGATGGTATTTTAAAATTCCTGCCACTGTAATACTACAGTACTTGTTTGATTTGTGTTCCATGACTATGCAAACTCGGTATTATTAAAAGTGGTCACAGATGTGTAGAGTTGTAAGGGGGAAAAATCACATTTACATATCCTCTCGTCCAATAATAGAACCAGTGTTTAAAAATGTAAATTGTGGAACACTTTCCTCCCCACCTTCTTTTTGCATAGAATGCTTTGGTCTTTTGCCTAGATGCCATCTGTGACCACTTAGGAGTCGGGGGAAATTAAGTGCTATGGTAAGATGATCTCTTGTTTTGCTGGTGAGCTGAGGTTCTTCCCACCACATTTGTCATGAATCCTGTGTTATTTCCCCACTGCCCACGTCATGAGAACTATACTACGGACAGGTTGGTTGTGGTCTTTTCAAATGAGGTACCCACCACGAGGGGAGACATCATATGTATCTGTTGTAAGGCCCTGTGACCCGAGTGAAGGCATATGGAGATGTAGTTACTGTGGAGTCTGTGGTCACGGACATGGTCCTTTCGGCAAGGGATTTGATGAAGCGCAGGTAAGTGGGCTCGGAAGGTTCATGTGGCTCAGCGGGCTCCCGTTTCACTTTTTTGCCATGGGTTTTCTGAGGCACATAGTCTGGGCCATACTTCTCACACTCTTCCTCTTTCTCTCGGGCTTTTTCAGCCATTTTGGCTTCCCAGAGCGCCAAGCCATGTTTTGGCTCATTCATGCTCTTATGCTGATAAAAGACAAGGGAGATCCTGGTGGGGTGATTCCTATTGGGATTCTTTAAAGGGGTTGTGGCATGAAGCTCGCGCTTGGCACACTCGATGAGAATTGACCCATGAGTTGGAGCCACAGCCACTCCCCCGATGTCAGGATCTAGAAAGCTCTGCTCACTGTCTGACCAGACTTCATCATTGTCCTCGGCGGCAGGGGGCTGCTTTTCCTGACTGCCAGCATCATGTAATTTGTGTAAGCCTTCTTGGACAGGAGCAGTTCTATCATGGTTAAGACCTGGAAGCATCTTAGATAACCCATTAGCTGTGTGGGAAAGCATGTCATTCTCCTTGTTTTGGAGATGCAGGGCATGGAGAGAGCTGTTGAACATGCCTGGAGCTGCCCCGTAGTTATGGATTATGTGAGAAGATGGGTGATGTTCGCCATTCTTATAGTCTATGTTTGGATTGCTCAAATTGGGTGGTAATCTAGAGGCGGCTCCCATGAAGTGGCCATCCATCTCATGAGTGGAGTAAGGAGGAAATGTCCCTACATGGTGTACATTTGTTTTAAGAGTACAACTGCTGAAGGCATCTCCTTGCATATTTTGGTTTCCATAACCTAAGTACTTAGAAGTAAAACTCTGGCTATTTCCAAACCTTGGCTGGTAGAGTGTATGGATGGGTGGCAGACTGAGCTTAGAGAGAGGGTCTTGGTTTGGATACCTATATAGATCCATGGACTGAGACTGAGGAGAATAGGAACCCAGATATGGGGAGCAGTTGTCCACTGATACATTTCCATTACATTGATAGGATGGATATTGGTTACTCTGATTCAAAAGCCCAGGGTAGGGATTCATGGGATTAGAAGAATTCAAATATGAACCTGCAGCTTGGGATGAGGTGGAATAGAGGTTCATAGGGCTGGCACCTCCATAAATCTCTGAAGTGTGTGAAGAGCTCGGATAAGCCTGGATAACTGGATTGGGCCGTCTCATGTACACACTGGTAGATCCAGAGGAAGAGTAAGAGCTGACAGACTCTGACTGAGGGTTATTTGTCATGGGGTTATGCTGGGGCAGTGGTGGCGGCGGCGGTGGCGGCGGTGGCTGCGGCTGCGGCTGCTGCTGCTGCTGCTGCTGCGGGGGCTGCTTCAGTGGCTGTGGAGGTTGCTTCGGCAGTTGCGGGGGTGGGGGCTGCTGGGACTGTTGCATGACTGGTCCTGAAAGTCGCAAAAGTTCTGTGGACAGGATATGAGAGAGCACACAAACGTGTTCGATTATTATTTCACAGAAGCTAGTGAGGATGCTTAGCTGTATGTGAGAACCACCACTAAGATTATGCAATACCCATCAAATAAGGACAAGAGCAAAGTCAGGGCTCTGATCACTGTCTGGCATCATTTTTTTGTCTAAAGCATTAGACAAAATAGATCTCCAGAACAGTACAATTTAGTAAGTGAAGAAAAATGTAACAAACATCCAAAAGATATTTGACTGAGAGCATCATGTTTTCTGGAGGTTCTGTGTATCTGACCATGCCACACCCTACCTGAAGCGCCCTTCTCCCTCCACCCCGTCTCCCCGCCCTTCCTTGAGACAGGTATCCCTTCCTCAAGGAAGCCTTGTATGACCTCATCTGCTAGTGTATGTACAATACCCACTGAAAACATAAGTCAGAGCAATGTTTTGTAATATACTGTAATTGATCATTTTTAGCCCTCTCCTCCTCCTAGCACAAAGCAGTTCCTTGAAGGAAGGGACCATGTCCCTTTTACTTTATTCCTCCAATGCCTGGGGCATGCAGTAACAATTTGTTAAATAGTTGGAAGTTGCATAAAATTTGTTATTGAAGATTCATCAATGCTATGAGAAAAGGAATGACATTCACTTAAACACCCAAAGCATATCTTCTATAATTGGCAAACCCTACTTACACAGTTGTCAATAAAACTTTAAAGAAATTTTCAGCTTTGTAAATAAAATTTTCATACTTCTATTTTATGACCTCACTTACAAATCTACATATGAGAAGTGAACAAATAAATGGAGCTGTAAGGGCAGTCTTGAGAATTGAAATGATTATTACAGAAATCAGTTAGAAAAGACGGGAGGAAAAGTTCTACCCCAATGATATGATGATACGTTATGGTTAACTTACAGGAGAGATTAATGAGAGAATAGGATTTACTGCTCTTAGTATAAGTCAACCAACATATATTTATTAAGCATCTTTAGCACATTATTCTAAATTACTTAGTTTCTTTAAGTTTTGAAATGAATTAGTAGGGAACTTTGACTTTGTGAAGCAAACATGGTTGGCTCTCAGCAAACTGGTGGGCTAAACTTAAAAGATAAACATTCTTCTTTTGTTAATGGTCAGGTTAACCATCTGTGAAATGAGACGTGGACATTACATTTATGGCTTTTTATAGCAAATAACTGAAGATATAACCAAGGGGCTTTGAAAAGAAAATATCAACTTAGTACTGATAAATAATGCTCTATTGCTACTGCTAGAGATGTGATCTGTTTGCATAGGTAAAAGCTTTTATAAGATAACTACGTGTGGATACTCCTCCTTAACTCAAGACTTAATATGGCTACCCCTCCCTGATAAATCCTATTTCCAAACTTCTTATTTCAACAAATAGTACTGTCTTAGTTATCTAGGCTTAAAATGTTGACATCAATCTTAAATTTTTCTTCTTCTTCATTCTAATGTTTTGTCACCAATGTATTGATAATCATTTTGGAAGCATTCGCTACCATCATTTTTGCCAAATCTTCATTGCTATCATCCAGACTCAAGCTTTTATTACTTTACTCTTGGTTTATTGCATCTGTCTCCAAACTCATAGCTTCTCTGCTTCTAATTTGGCCTCCCTGCCACTGCTAGATTAACATGAATTTCACCATGTTACCTACCTGTCATATAAAACTTTGCCATTTATTATAGAATAAAATCCAGACTTTTCCATCAAGCTGGGGTTGAGGGTGCAGTATCTCATTACCATGTCCAAGAGCAAAACCTGGCCCTTGGGACTTCAGAGACAATTCTAGTACAAAACTGATACCATGATCAAATATAATCATCCAAAATTAACTCTTCATTTTTAACCTAAGTTTCATATAACATATCTACAATGCTTCATATTACATTTACCTGCCAACTGTTTAGCCTGGCTTGCGTTTTCAGTCTGTTTTGTACGAGATGAAGCTGACTTTTCCTTTTCATTCTTATTTGTGCTGTTCTCCAGAGAGGAAAGCTTTTCAGCTGCAGCTTTCTTGGCTTCTAGTTTCCTCTGTCGGCATGTCTTGACAGGCTCTGCTAACATCCTGACTTTCCGCCGAAAAGAACTCAGCACCTGAATGGCACCACTTTGTTTTTTCTCCTCCTGAGCTTCTACACTCCCAAACTCATCCACATCAGAGACTTTGTAGAGAGGCAGAACATGGAGCTGCTCGTCCTCAGGTTTCCCTCCAATTTCTCGATTGTCTTCTCTAGTGAGGGTGCATACCTGGTAGGGAGATAACACAGTACTGCCTCAGTTTCAGTCTAAAAGAAACTGTGGGTGTGTGTGTGTGTGTGTGTGTGTGTGTGTGTGTGTGGTACTGCCTCAGTTTCAGTCTAAAAGAAACTGTGTGTATGAGCCCCACCAGTTTCCCAGGGCCTAAAAGAAACTGCAGTGTGTGTGTGTGTGTGTGTGTGTGGTACTGCCTCAGTTTCAGTCTAAAAGAAACTGTGTGTGTGTGTGTGTGGGGGGGTACTGCCTCAGTTTCAGTCTAAAAGAAACTGTGTGTGTGTGTGTGTGTGTGTCTGTCTGTCTGTCTCCCTCCCTCTCAGCATTTAGATTTGTGGTGGTGGTCTACTGGGCCAGGTCAGTGACATGCATATTACCAAAAAACCACATCTGTCTGTTATTAAGGGTGATTGCATCAAAATGGTACAGGGAGATAGACAAGTTCATGTTGACTTTTTTTTTTCCTTTCCTTTTGTGTTTGGGTGGGGAGGGGGGCGGTCTATCATGGACCTGTGGTGACTTTGTTCTTCACATACATTTCTTACTCTAAGGGAAGAAGCAACACTCCCACAAAACAGAAGCAATCTCCCACTTTTCACCCTTCAAAAATAGATGTGAAGCCTCTTCAAAAAGAGGCCAAAAGTTATACCAAATGATTTCCTCTGTTTTTGCTAATATCACATTCACCTAATCTCATACTTTGTACACAATGAAATTTTGCATCTATCCTCACACTTGACTTCAAACTCTCCTTCACTGTGCTTAAGACATTTTCACAAGAGACCAAAGAGAAATATAAATATGTGAAATGGAAGATTTGGTTGATATAGGTAATGTGTAACTTAACACTGCTTCTACCTTCTTGTCTCCTCTGTACTTGTTAAACCTAACTTACTGTTTCTCTTCTCTCTTATTTCTTTTGTAGGATATCACAACATACAAGGGTCTATTCCAAGAAAGGGGGGAAAAAAACTACTTCTCTTGCTTTGATAATTTAATGATACTTTTCCTCTTTTGTTAGCCACAGTCACATTGGTTTTGATGAAAGATTATCTGTTGGTTTTAAAATACCAGATTTTAGTATTTAGTGTTTTTGACTAATGCAGAAAAAAATGTGAGCATGATTATTTAACGTCCGAGGCAATATAAAATCACTAGAAGATACTCTTGAAAGGAATGTGATCATAACAGACTTACCTTGATAGAGAAGTTTAATATGAGGTGGCACTACAATGAGTTTTCACTTCCTATACATCAAAGTCTTCCAAATCCATGTCTCTGATCACTTACTACCTTTTCCCACATGTTATTAGTTCTTACCTAGTGCTGCTTTCCTTTGCACCTGATGGAAACTGACCTATCAGAGGCAAATTCCCCTTAAGGCAAAGCCTTTTTCTCATCCCTGCCTACTCTTCATTCCCTTGCTAGAGTGAAACATGGTTATCTTTAGGATCTACCGTAGCATTTTTTTTTCCCTCCAGAATCTAGCCTAGCCTCCTAATAGTGAGCATGTGTTCAATACACAATTAGTGAAGATTTTAGATTTTTTATTATTAAAAAAAAATTCTGACTTCTGTTTTATACTATTAATCTGATACTTTTTCTGCTTTTCAACAAAAACTTCACACCAGGTTCTGTGAATTACTTCCACCATTGCTTGCCACCTGAATTCTTCTCTACCCTAGACTACAATTTTAGTTTCTGTATTCTATTTTTTTAATGTTTATTTATTTTTGAGAGAGAGAGAGAAGGAGAGAGAGAGAGAGAAGGAGAGAGAGAAGGAGAGAGAGAGAGAGAGAGAGAAGGGGAGGGAGAGAGAGAGAGAGAGAGAGAGAGAGAGAGAGAGAGAATCCCAAGCAGGCTCTTCTATGCTGTCAGCACAGAGACCGACATGGGGCTCCAACTCACGAACTGTGAGATCATGACTGAACCAAAATCAACAGTCAGACATTTAACCAACTGAGCCCCCCAGGTGCCCCATGTATTCTATTTTTCATTTTAAGTCTCACTGGTCATCTTCCTCAACTACACATATATCCATGTTGATGATTCACTAGGTAGATTACTTTATAGTTTCTTCACTTGAATTTTTCATTCCTTATTTTCACCCTGGTTTATGCCTCAACATGCAAGGCCACACTGTGGACTCTGTCAGTATGGAACCCTGTTCTACCCTAAGACCATGTCCATTTTCTCCATTTAGCATAACCTCTGATTATACAGCCTGATCCAGTCCATCTACTGTAATATGTAGTAATAATGGGCTCTTTTGTACTTTGAATCTTCTATAGTGTTGCTATGCCATGGATGATGCATTTTTCATTTGTACTTCTTTCTGCAAGGTAGATTGGTGCCTTGGCTTATATATTTCTTTTTCATTTTACTGATTATAACCTACCAGATGCCTGACATTGAATTTTGAAGGAACTTTTGGCAGCTAATGGTAGTTGGCAATGCAATCACTGGTTTAGTTCTGTACCAAGCGTTTCCATGATTTTCATGTGCTTATCAACTGTTTTCCACTCATGTGACAACCTGTTATAAGAGTACTAGATATGTCAAACGAAGGCACCTTTGCAACAGCAATTCATTCATGAAAACACTGTGCAATGACATCTGCAGAGAACATATTACTCTAATCACAGGATAACTTCCAGCCTTCCACTCTTCAACAGGCTGTGCTAACTGTTCTGTGCCCCACTTACCAATGTACTGCCATTCTGCATGTTGTGTAAGTCTCTATGGGCATGAGCACAGAAGTCCAAACATGCAGTGACCCCTGAGAATGGACGGCCTTCCTTCAGACCCAGTCGGCATTCTGGTGCTCTGTGTTCATATTCAATCTGAAAAACAGAAGCATGTGTGTGAATGGGGAACTACTTAGGCATTTGAAATTCTTAGGCATACATTTGAGAAAAAAGTATAAGACCTGTGCACTGAGCAGATCAGAAAGATTTTTTAGTATTTAGGTTATTCAGAATTAAAAAAAAAAGTTATACATGTTATACCCAGAAATACAGTGGAATGACAGAAAACAGACCAAACGTTTTGACATGGTAAAGTTTTTATTTTACAGTGTTGAAGTATAACTGACATACATTAAACAGTATATATTTAAAGTGTACTATTTGATTAGTTTTGACGTGAGTATATGTGAAACCATTGCCACAATCAAAATAATGTACCTATCCGTTACTCCCAAAAGTTTCTTCCTTCCCCTTTTAATTCATGTCTCTTCCTTTGTTCCCAGGAAACTACTGATCTGCTTTCTGTAACTACAGATTAGTTTACATTTTCTAGAATTTTACATAAATGGATCTGTTTTGAGTTAATTTTTATATATGGCATAAGATTAAGAGTCAAGGTTAGTTTTCTTCCATATCGCTATCCAACTGTTCAAACACTACTGCAAAAAAAATTATCCTTTGCCACTAAATTGTCTTTTTTTGAAAATCAACTGTACATGCTGGACTTATTTCTGGACTTTCTATTCTGATTGTTTGGTATATAATAGTGTAGTGGGTATGTATGTGTATATATGCCGACATCACTGTCTTGATTACTAGTAAATATAGATTTTTAGTGAATCTTGAAATCATGGATTATAACTCTCCAAATTCTGATCTTCTTTTTGAAAATTGTTTGCCTATTCCAGATCCTTTGCATTTGTCTTTCTATATATTTACAAACACCCTGTCAATTCCTTCAAAACACTTGGTAACATTTTGATAGGTCATATACTAAGTCCATTGAATGACTTGGGGAAAACTGACATATTAAAAATATTAGTCCTGTGATCCATAAACATAGTAGACCTTTCCATTTGGGGTCTTTTATAATTTCTCTCAGCAATGTATTATAGTTTTCAGTGCACGGGTCTTACATGTTTTGTCAAATGACAAATTCTTATGTCTAAGAATTTCATATTTTTGATGTTATTTAATTGCTATTGGTTTTGACTGCAATTTTTAGTTATTACTAGTATATAGAAATACAGTTGATTTATTTTTGCAACTTTGCTGAACAATTTATTAGAAGTTTTTGGGTCTTTGGAACTTTTTGTGTAGACAAGTGTCTACATTATAAGGACAATTTTATTTCTATTCAATCTGTACACTCCTTATTTCTTTTTTCTTGCCTATTTCCCTAAAACTTCCAGTTAGATATTAAATAAAAGTGGTAAAAATGGATGTCCTTGTCTTGTTTCTAATCTTAGGGGTAAAGCTTTCAGTCTTTCACTATTAAATATGAAGTTAGCTTTAGGTTTTTCAATTATGCACCTTATGAGGCTGAGAAAGTTCCCTTCTATGGATATTAAGTATTGCTAAGTGCTTTTTCCTCTATCTATTGAGATAATCATATTTACCCCATTATGTTGGCTAATGTGGTGAATCACACTGATTAAAACATTTTTAATGTTTACTTTTGAGAGACAGAGACAGAGTGGGAGAGGGGCAGAGAGAGAATGGGAGACACAGAATCTGAAGCAGGCTCCAGGCTCTGAGTTGTCAGCATGGAGTCTGACGCAGGGCTGGAACTCATAGACTGTGAGATCATGACCTGAGCCGAAGTCAGACACTTAACTGACTGAGCCACTTAGTCAATCAATCATGATGGATTTTTGAATGTTAAACAAAACATTACTGAAATAAATTCCATTTGGTCATGATATATCCTTTTTGTACACTGTTGTCTAATTGACTAAAATTTTGTGAAGAATTTTCATATCAATGTTAAGAATATTGGACTATAGTCTTCTTTTTCTTTTACTGCCTTTGTCTAGTTCTAGTATCAGGATATTTCCAGCTTTGTAAAATGAGTTGGGAAGTTTATTCCTTTTCTATTTTCTAGAAGAGTTTCCATTGAATTGTTACTATTTCTTCCTTAAAATATGAGTCAGATTTGAAAGGGAAATTATCTGGGCCTGGAATTTTTGGAAAAGCTTTCAACTAAAAAATCAATATCTTTAATAAATATAGGATGACTTATGGTATTTATTTTTTTCTTTAGTCATCTTTGGTAATTTGCGTTTAAGTACTTTTCTCATTTCATCTAAGTTGTTGAATTTATTGGCATAAAATTTTAATAATATTATTCCTTTAATGTCTGTAGTATCTATAGTGATGTCTCATCTCTAATTCTTGATATTGGCTTTTGGACCTTCTCTTTTTTTTCTTGATTGAATTGATTCAAAGTACTAGCTTTTGGTTTCACTGATTTATGCTCTTATTTTCTGTATTCCATTTCATTGATTTATGTTCTTTAGTTTTTCCTTCCTTCCGTCTTTTAGGGCTCATATTGCCGTCCTTTTCCAAGTTTCTTAGAGAAGCCACCTAGATCATTAATTTGAGACTTTATATATATTTTCTGAAGTTTATTTATTTTTATTTTACTTATTATTTTTTTAATGTTTATCTTTGAGAGAGAGACAGAGTGTAAGTGGGAGGGACAGAGAGAGAAGGAGACACAGGTTCTGAAGCAGGCTCTAGGTTCTGAGCTGTTAGCACAGAGCCCAACATGGGGCTTGAACTCATGAACCATGAGATCATGACCTGAGCCAATGTTGGATGCTTAACCAACTGAGCCATCCAGGTGTCCCAAAGTTTGTTTATTTTTGAGAGAGAGCACCCATGAGGACAGGGCCAGAGAGAGAGAGAGAGAGAGAGAGGAAGAGAGACAAACCCAAGCAGGCTCTGTGCTGACAGAGGAGAGCATAATGCCAGGCTCAATCTTGTGGAATGTGAGATATGACCTGAGCTGAAACCAAGGGTTGGATGCTTAACCAACTGAGCCCCCCAGGTGCCCCTATATTTTTCTAATAAGTATTCAATGCTATAAATGTCTCTCGAAGCAAGGCTTTATAGCTTCATTCCACAAATTTCAAGGTCATGTCTTCATATTCTTTTTGTTTTTAAATGTTTATTTTGAGAGACAGAGTGCATGTGTGCACATGCATGACTGAAGGAGGGGCAGAGAGAGACAATCTCAAGCAGGCTCATGGCTGTCAGTGCAGAGCTCAACATGGGACTTGATTTCATGAACCATGATATCATGACCTGAGCTGAAATCAAGAGTCAGATGCTTAACTGACTGAGTCACCCAGGCACCCCCAAGCCTTCATTTTTATTCAGTTTGAAATACTTTCTAATTTCCCTGTGAATTATTCTTTGGCTCCTAGGTTATTTAGGAATATGTTTCTCAGTTTCCAGATACTTAGAAATTTTGTGGAAATACTGGTACAGATTTTTCATTTAACTTCATTGTAGCCAGAGAACATATTTTGAGGCTTTATAATATATTGATACTTGCTTTATGACTCACTATACAATCTATCATGATAAAACTTCCTGTACACTTGAAAATAATGTTAATTCTGTTGGGTGAGGAATTCTATACATGTCAATAAGGTCAAGTTGGTTAAAAGTGCTGTTTAAGTCTTCTGTCTCCTTAGTGATTTTGTATTTGTTCTAACAGTTATTGAGAGAGATGTACTGAAATCTCTGACTCTAATTGTAGATTCTTTTTATAGTTCTATCAGTTTTGTTTAATAAAATCTGAAGCTCTGTACATAGTTAGGATTATCATGTTTTCTTGATGAACTGCCCCCTTTTTTATTATTAAATGATCTTCTTTACAGTTTATAATATTCTTTGCTATGAAATCTACTATGTTATCAATATGATCATTCCAGCTTTCCTTAGATTGATATTAGCATATTTCTTGGTTCCTGGTTTTTTTCAATATTATAATTATTCAATATCAATGTGATTATTTAGTATCACAAACTCTGCCTTTTTAATTGGGAATGTTAAAAGCCATTCACATTTAATATGATTTTTGATATGGTTGGGATTAAATATACCAATTTTCTATTTGCTTTATATTTGTCTTATCTTTAATTTGGTTCCATAATCCTTTTAAATACATTTTGGATTGATTCTATTTTTTTCCTTTTTACTGGTAGATTAGCTGGTAGATTTTTTTACTGCTAGATTTTTTTTTTTTTAAATGGCCGCTTCCCTTAAGGTTTACGATATATTCTTTATCTTCTTACACTCTACATTCAAGAAATACTATACTACTCTACATATAACATAAGACCCTTACAACAGTATACTTTCAATTCCCCAGTCTCTGTGTTACTTCTACATGTTATAAAGTTTAAGGCACATTGTTCATATATATTTCTAATAGCAAATTATCTTTAAATTTCTTTTGAAATAAGGAAAAAGTTTTTTTATTTACATAGCTACTATTTATGATGTTTTTCTTTCCTTTTTGTCAATACAGACTTCTATCTGGTATCATTTTCTTTTACTGGCAGGCTTCCTTTAATATTTTTAAAGTGTTAGTCTGCTGATGGTAAATTATTTCAGCATTTGTATGTTTGAAAAAAATTTTGTTTTGCCTTTACTTTTTTTTTTTAATGTTTATTTTTCAGAGAGAGAGATAGAATGAGAGAGGGGGAGGGGCAGAGAAAGAGAGAGAACAGAATCCGAAGCAGGCTCCAGGCTCTGAGCTGTCAGCACAGAGCCCAACACTGGGCTTGAACTCAAGAACCGTGATATCACGACCTGAGCCAAAGTTGGACGTTTAACCGACTGCACCATCTAGGCACTCCCTTGCCTTTACTTTTGAAGTTTTTCCTGGGTATAGATTTCTGGGTTGACAAGAGTTTTTTTTTTTCTTACATTTTTCTCTGATGTGAAGCTTAACTTCAACAATAAGACTTTATAAAATCAAGGAACAAAGCAGAGGAAGAGCATTTAGATATGAGAAATAAGTACAATATATCCAGTTGGGGAAGAGACAAAAATCAAATGGTAGGCTTTGATAGCATCCATAACCTCAAAAGGTCTTCCCATGTGCTGTGTGGAAAGACCACATGGCTGTTTTTTTGAGCTTTAAACAATATTAAGACATACGGATGAGTATTACCCAATAGTACATACTAGGCAATATAAAAAATACCTTATCTATCTTTAACCATGATTGATTTAATTTATATATACAACTATTTTTTATATATGAATGTATGTATATATGTAAATTTTATTTTGTGGTAAGAATACATAACATGAGATCTACCTTTTCAACAAAATTTTAAGTGTCCATTATTGTTGGCAATAGGTACACATTGCAAAGCAGATCTCTAGAGCTCATTCATCTTGCTTAACTGAAACTTTCTGCCCATTTATTAGTACATCTACACATGTATCGATATATAAATACTGAAACACATCTAAAGAATTATATGTAATCTTCTTGTTATAACTAAAATTTGGGGTACCTTCATATTTTGGATACTCTAAGTTCAGGAAATGCATAAAATGCTCCAAACATAATACAGTAGGGTGGAATATAAATGCTTAGAAAACCAGGTGTGTATGACACCATATATAGTAAGAATCAAAGGAGTAAAAAGAACACCAATGCTTTGTTATTCTGTCCCCTTTTCCAGCTAAAGCCATTAGGTTAATAGCACCTATAAAAATTTTTATTCAACAGAAAATAGCCAAACTTGAAATCTAGCAACATAGACTCAATTCGTTTTCTTTTTATAGCTTGATTTATTGTGTTTCTCACTTGGAATTATTTTATAACAGTACTAAAACATTCCATATACTTTTCTGTGATACTTACCAAAGTAGATAAGGTTGTAAAATAACAGTATTAATCCTACTACTATTAACAGCATTAAAAATAATCTTCATATACATCATATATATTTCTAAAAGCCTGAGTTGTGACATAAAACAAATTTATAAACAGATCGTTATTAAATTTGCTTCCTTTGCTTACACTTAAAAAAAGAAAGAGCGGAGGTTTGGGGAAAGTATTAAAGTCCACAATAGAAACAAGAGTAGCTAAATCATTAAATGAGTATTGGTCTCCCCTGTGTGTCTCTGCTATATAAATTAATCCCATTAGTCTTTAATGTTATTAAATGACAACGTTTGCCAAATGTACCTCTCTTCATACTTCCTTGTACCCCCTGCCACTGTGTACTCTGCTCTGGATACCTGCATCACTTCCAGCTTTCCTCCATTTATCAGTCTCTCTCTTTCCCTTAAATCTTTAACCTCCCTTACTCTATTGTGCCTACTCCCAGCAGTTACTTCACTGCTTTCTAATCCTCCACTCCTAAAATGTCAGTGTACTCCAGAACCCATCAGAATCCCTTCTCTTTATAGTCTCCACTCTGAAAACATGCATTCACATCTTGTGAATTCGACTACTTCTTGCATTTTGGTGACTCCCAAATCTACATAATTAGCCTGCATTTTTCTCAGGATTTTCCATCTAATTATACTAAAGGATGTCAAACATAGTATGCCCAAAATGAAATTTATCATTTCACCCGTTTGTCCGCAAACCTACTTTTCCTCACTGATTCCAAATACTAGTTAATAGAACAACCTGTCCAAGCCAGAAATTTGGTGGCTCCTCAAATTCTCTCTTCTGCTCATCCTCAAATCCAATTGGTAAGTTCTACAAGTTCTACCTCAAATTTCACATACTTATTTCCTTTATTCTTTCACTACTGCCATTTCTTTAATGTAGGACCTTAACATCTCTTGTCCAGTGACTGCACTAGCTTACTCCTCCAATTTAATCTTACACTAACCTAAGTTGTATTTCACTTAACTTGGCTTGTTCAGTGACCGTTTTAAATTAAATCACTTCACACTCTCCTGTCCCCAACACACACTTAAAACGCCCCAATGGTAGCCTTCTTACATACAGGATAAAGTTCAAAGTTCAAAGATCTTTATATGGTCTCCAAGGCCATTTGTGACCTTACATCTCTACTTTCAGGGAGAACTTTTTTGTTCCTTCAGAAATAAGCATACCTCTATCCCAGCTGTTAATGTATTATTCTGTAATTGTTATTTTACATATCTCTGCCTTAAAGGAGTTCCTTAAAGGAAGGAATTCCTTAAAGACAAAAACCTACAATACTCATCTTTACATCCACAGTGACTAAATACAGCATCTAGTTTATAACAGGTTTCCATTTAATGCTTCTGTTGTTGATGTCATAATGACAGGGAAGACTACAGTTTTTTTTCCTCCTTCATGAGCATTTCTGAACAAATGACCTAGCTTTCCAAACTGGTATAGCCTAGACCACACTCATAAAATAGGAAACAAGTGTTTCAGCTTGGTTCATGGAGCCAAGGCCAAATAAAATGAAGATAATCTAGCAAAATCAGACATATCTGGACACATGTATGTACACTTACAAAGTAGTACACTCATAATATGTATAGACCTTCTGTGAAAAGTTAATAGGTGGTTAGAACCTATGGTTTGGGTCACATAATTTTAATCACCAAAGTCTACTTACAGAAGAGATACGAGACAAGATTACTGGATACAACAGCTTGTTAGATTCACAATCTTTCCACGTTAAAAGACCAACAATAAGCTCTTTTTGATGATATTTCTTTGAAAGTATGTAGGTCATCAATAATAAACTGTTCTAATCATTGTCCATAATTATTTATAAACTTACCTGATTATTATATGCATCAGGTGCAAGTTTCTTGTATGTTGGTGCCATAAGAGTAGACAGGTTTTGTAAATGAGACTCCAGTTTCTCTTCCTGTTTAAAATGAATAATTCTACATATTAAATTCTAAATCCTTTTTATATGTGAGAGAGGCTATCAGTAAAAAATTTCCCCCTATATCTTAGATCCAAATGACAATATATAGTATCTTTCTTATTAAATAACTAAGGTTTCCTAACATGACTGTCTTTTTTTACATATTTAAATTCAAGTTAGTTAACTTACAGTGTAGTATTGGTTTCAGGAGTAGAACCCAGTGATTCGTCACTTACATATAATACCCAGTGCTCATCCCAACAAGTGCCCTCCCTAATGTCCATCAGCCCTCCTCCCACCAACCTCCCCTCCGGCAATCCTCAGTTTGTTCTCTGTCTTTAAGTGTCTCTTATGGTTTGCCTCCCTCACTGTTTTAATCTTATTTTTCCTTCCCTTCCCCTATGTTCATCTGTTTTGTTTCTTAAATTCCACAAAATTTCCAAGCAAAAAGTATACACCATATATCATCTATTTTTGCATGTGTTTCCAAGCAAAAAGTATAAACCATCTAATTTTGTATGTGTTATTAGAATATCTAGCTCTTTGGTATTTTTATGATGTTAATTTTATACTTTGTACGTAGATACTCAGCATTTTATAAATATAAGCCTATGCCAGTAATAGGATAGGAGTATGAAGCCATAGAGTCTTAAAGAGGTCACGTTCTCTACTCCTCCAATTAGCTGCCAAGGAAGATGAACTATTGGAAAGATTTGTTTGGCTCTCTTTATATTTTTAAGTGCTTATATTAAAAAGTTCAAAATTTGAAAAGATCTTTCCATTGAACAAAAAATTACTAGATGCCTCAAATATGGATAAAACTCTCAGAAGTAGAGGTATATTTGAAGAACTTTGTAAGGTTTACTTGAAAGGAGGAATGTTCAGTTGCTCCTCCTCCCTACAAAGAACAGATTTTCCAGGTAATATGCTTATAAAATGGGAGGCGATGATACTCAGTTATTCCATTCATCCTTAGAGGTTCTCATTTCATAGTAATATTTCTCTAAGAATGTTGATGTAACTACCTGGCAGAGATATACTAATTTGTATTTTAGAAGGTGAGGAGGTTTCTAAGCCAGGCTCTCCTACCGCCCTGAGGGAAGATGTTCCTATCCATCCCCAGGATTTGCTTTATATTAAATATGGTGAAAGTGATAAACTTTTATAAAATATTGGTTAAAAAAAAAAGCTCTCCAGTGTGGGAAATTAAAGTGGCTGATGACATGTAGCCCATTTAATAAAGTTTATTAAAAATATAATCCTGTGGGGGTGCTTGGGTGGCTTAGTCAATTAAGCTTTCGACTTCAGCTCAGGTCATGACTTCACAGTGTGAGTTTGAGCCCCACATCTGGCTCCTTGCTGGCAGTGCAGAGCCTGCATGGCATTCTCTCTCTCTCTCCCTCCCCCACTTGTGCGCATGCTCTCTCTCAAAATAAATTTTATATATACATACACACACACACACACACGTTTATATATATAATATATATAAAATCCTGTGAAGAAAATTACATCATGATTTCAAGAATTTTTGCACTTTATTAAATTTCCACTTACTATTATAGTCACAAATAATAAAGCAACAAAGTTTTCATTTAGAGGGACATATCAATACTATAGTATGCATAGTATAACTATAAATTTCAATTGCATTTAATCTTTGTAAGATAATTGTAAGGTTCAGAGAGTCAGTAAAAATTTGGTCATATCTAAATGTAAACATACTGAAGTTTTTGGATTATTCAATGAGTAAACTCTAGAAGCTACCCAAAAGTTGTTATATTTGAGACCCATGTGTAAGTTATTTTTGAGAAACATATAAATTCTTTAAAAAAATTTTTTTTAATGTTTGTTGATTTTTGAGAGAGAGAGACACAGAATGTGAGCAGGGGAGGGGCAGAGAGAGGGAGACACAGAATCCGAAACAGGCTCCAGGCTCCGAGCTGTCAGCACAGAGCACAATGCGGCGTTTGAAGTCACGAACCGTGACATCATGACCTGAACTGAAGTCGGATGCTTAACCGACTGAGCCATCTAGGTACCCCAAGAGAAATATATAATTTCAATTACATTTATATTAAAATCTAAATATTTTTTAGTTTCTCTAGTGCATTCATTATGATAACTTTAAGCTATCAAATCTCAGGGTATGAAAATGTGATTAGAAATGATCTTTACTGAACGTGGCAGTGATGAATATGACTTTTTAAATTCAGGTTTGAAAGATGAAAGTTGTAACAATGAAATGTTAACATTTAGTTTTAATACCAAAGTGACAGTTATTTAAAACTCTAGAATTAACATGAAAGATAAGTATAGAAGACCATAGGTATTAAGAGTTTATTTTGCTCAAATTTTACTACTTTGGTATCACATGGTTGTTATTATGCTAACTTTATCAAATATTATAATGTGTATCTACAATTTGGCGTAAATTTTGATTTACCTCAGAGGTGAAATTCTCTATGTTAATGAGAATTTTAACTGAGTATGTCATACTGTTCACTTCATCTGTACTCATCAATTCTCCATGAAAAATACAGATTATATATCAGGAAGTACACAAACCTCTTTTGGGTCATCCCCAAGCAGCTTAAATTTTCTTGGGATCTTGCTTCTGGCAAACTTACATCCATTGTAGTACATACTCCATGAACAACCAAAAGAAAATGAGGCACCACAGGTCTCGGGGTCCAGCCCTTGACAGGCACAGGTTCTCCTGAGGGATCAAAGGACCAAGTTCATAGCTATCAATAACATTTATGTAGGCTACCAATCTTGTATTCTGGATGTCTGCATGCAAAAATGAATAAAAATTAGTTTTAAAAGAAGTTTAACTCTATTAATTAAGCCTGCCATAACCACATCAGAAAATAACTATTTTAATTGATTTTGAAACACAATTTAAATGACTCTATTTTAACATATCACACAGAAAATTACACATAATTTTACAGCTTGCAAATGCTCACAAATAAAACCAAAGTAAAAGTAGCACCCAAAGTAAGAAACAAATATATACTGGCACTCCACAATCTCCTAATATGCCCAGTAAGCTGTAATAATAATTTCTATCAGAAAAAATTAGTTGTGCCAATTTCATTCTGTATACAGTGTACTGTATATATATATATATGGGGATGTATATGTATGTGCAGTTTTGCATATTTTTATACTATAGTATGTATATGTATATATATGTATATATATATATACACACACACATTTTTGCTTACTCATATATATACTATATAGCATATTTTTATTTTTATTTATAGAGAATACCATGTTTATTTTTATTTATAAATGTAGTATAAAAATGGGTAAAACTCTGTATATACACAGGTACACACATACACACAATTAGATAGTATAATCTTATTTGTGTCTTGTTATTTTTGTTCAACATTATGTTTGAGATATCCATATCATTGCATATAGTTGTACTTTTTCATGTATTTATTCATGGAGTGCAATTTTCCATTGTATAAATATTTCACAACTTAACCATTCTACCATTGATAGGCATTTGAATACTTTCCAGTTTTTGGCTAAAATACAGTATTATGACTTTAGAGCCTAAGCCAGATATATCCTAAGAAACATAAGCAGACAAATTCAGCAAAGAAACCAAAAACAAAAAAACCAAAGAAATAAAAAATGATGAAACAACCTACTAGGAAAACTAGTATTCTATTATGATTATTGTTATTAGTATTTATTATTCAATTATTTTTTCCAGATTTTTTGAGGTATAATTGACAAATAGTTAAGATATTGAAAGTGTACAAAGTGATTTGATGTATGTGTGCATTGTGAAAGGATTTGCCCACTGAGTAGTTAATATATCTATTACCTCACATATTTAACTCCCCTTTTTTTGGTAAAGAACATTTAAGGTATATTCTTTTAGCAAATTCCAATTATACAATACAGTATTATCAACTATAGTCCCCATGCTACACATTAGATCCTTAGACCTGATTCATTTTATAACTGAAAGACTGTACCCTTTTATCAACCTTTCCCTATTTCCCCTGTCCCCACAACCACTTTTCTACTCTGTTTCAGAGTTCTACTTTTTGGTTTGTTTCTTTTTGATTCCACACAGAAGTAACATCATGTAGTATTTGTCTTTCTCTGCTTGGCTTATTTCACTTAGCATAATGTCTTCCAGATTTATCCATCTTGTTACAAATGACAAGATTCCCTCCTTTTTTAAGACTGAATAATACCTTTCTCCTTCCCTCCCCTCCCTTCTCCTCTCCCCTCCCCCTCCTTCTGTGCCCCTATCCTTCCCTTCCTTTCTTTCCCCTCTCCCTCTTTCTCCATACCAGATCATCTTTATCCACTCACCCATTGGTGGACTCTTAGGTTGTCTCTACACATTTTTTAGTGCAGATAATGCTGCAATGAACACTGAAGTGCATAAACTCTTTGAGATAATGATTTCATTTCCTTTGGATATATACTCAGAAGGGAGGTTGCTGGGTCATAATAGAAGTGGTAGTTCTATTGTTAATTTTTTGAAGAATCTCCATACTGTTTTCCATAGTGTACCAGTTTATGCTCTCACTAACAGTATGCAAGGATTCCTTTTCTCCACATTCTTGCTAGCATTCTTATCTTTTTGGTAATAAACATCCTAACAGGTGTCAGTTGATATCTGATAGTTTTTATTTGTATCTCCCCAATGATTAGTGATTTTGAGCACATTTTCATGTACCTGTTTGCCATTTGTACGCATTCTCGGTAAAAATGTCTATTCAGGTCCTTTGCCCAATTTAATTGGTTTGCTTTTTTGCTATTGAGTTGTATAGGTTCTTTGCATACTTGGATATTAACCTCTTTCTGGGTGTCTGGTTTGAAAACATTTTCTCCCATTCCATAAACTGCTTCTTCATTTTGTTGATGGTTTCCTCTACTGTTCAGCTTTTTGGTTTGCTGTAGTCACTCTTACTTTGCTTTTGTTGCCTTTGCTGTTGTTAAATGCAAAAAACCACTGTCAAGATCAATTCCAAGAAGTTTACCCCTATGTTTTTTTTTTCCCTGGGAGTTTTACAGTTTCAGGTCTTCTGTTCAAAACTTTAATCCATTTTGAGTTGATTTTTGTGTACAGTGTAGGAGAGGTCCAGTTTCATTCTTCTGGGTGTGATATCCACTTTCCCCAATAGCACTTATTGAAGAATGATCCTTCTCCCATTGTATAGTCTTGGTTTCATTAAAAAAATTAACTGACCATATTTTCATACATGTATTTGTTGGCTTTGAATTCAGTTCCATTGATTAAAGTGTTTGTTTTGATGCCAGTACCATACTGTTTAATTAATATAGCTCTGCAATATAGTTTGAAATCAGAAAGTATAATGGCTCCAGCTTTGTTTTTCATTCTCAAGACTGCTTTGACTGTTTGGGGTCATTTGTGATTCCCTATAAATTTAGGATTCGTTTTTCAATTACCATGAAAAATGCCATTGGAATTTTGATAGAGAATGCATTGATTCCACAGATTGTTTTGGGTACTATGGGGATTTTAACAATATTGATTCTTCCAATCCATGAACATAGGCTATCTTTCCATTTATTTGTCTTTTTTGATTTCTTTCATCAATCTTTTGGGGTTTTCAGTACACAGATTTTCATCTCCTTGCTTAAATTTATTCCTAGGTGTTTTATTCTTTTTGATGCTTGTGTAAATGTGATTGTTTCCTTAATTTCTCTTTCTGTTGTTCGTTGTTAGTATATAGAAACATAACTGATTTTTGTATATTGATGTATGCTACAACTTTACTGAATTTGTTTATTAGTTCTAACAGTTTTTTTGATGAGGTCTTTAGAATTTTCTATCTGTAATATCATGTCCTCTACATATAGTGATACTTTTACTTCATCCTTTATTTGGATGCCTTTTATTTTCTTGCCAGATTGTTCTGGCTAGTATTTCAAATAATTTATTGAATGAAAGTGGTGAGAGTAGGCATTTTTTTGTCTTATTCCTGATCTTAGAGTAAAGCCTTTCAGCTTTTCATCACGGAGTATAATGTTAACTGTGGTTTCCTCATATGTGGTCTTTATTATGTTGAGGTACTTTCCTTCTATACTCAGTTTTTATTATGAAAGGATGTTGAACTTTGTTAAACATGTTTTCTGTGCTTCTTGAGATGATTATACAATTTTTATCCTTAATTTTGTTAATGTGGAATTGATTGGGTATGTTGAACCATTCTTGCATTTCTGGAGTAAATCCCACTTGATTATGGTATATGATCCTTTTAATGTACTATTGGACTTGGTTTGCTAATATTCTGTTGAGAGTTTTTGCATTTAACTTTTCATCAGGGATACTGGCAGATAATTTTCTGTTTTTGTAGTGTCCCTGTCTGGTTTTGGTATCAGTGTAATGTTGGCCTTGTAAAGTGAGTTTGTAAATAATTCCTTTTCTTCAACTTTCTGAAAGAGTTTGAGGACTGTGAATTCATCTTCAAATGTTTGGTAGAATTCACCATTGAGGCCATCTGATCCTGGACTTTTCTTTGTTGTGAGGTTTCTGATTACTGACTCAATATCCTTACTAGTAATTGGTCTGTTCAGATTTTCTTTTTCTTCATGATTCAGTTTTGGTAAGTTGTATGTGTTTAGGAAGTTAGCCATTTCCTCTAGGTTGTCCAACCTGTGGGTGTACAATTGTTCATAGTGTTCAGTTATAATCTTTTGTATTTGTGTGGTATCACCTGAAATGTCTTCTCTTTCATTTATAATTGTATTTCTTTGAGTCCTCCTTTTTCTTCGTAAGTGTAAAGGTTTATTATTTTGTTTATATTTTCAAAAAAGTAGCTCTTAGTTTCATTCATCTTTTCCATTGTCTTTTTAGTCTCTATTTCATTTATTTCCACTCTGACGCTTATTATTTCCTTCCTTCTGCTAACTTTGGGCTTAGTTTGTTCTTTATTAGTTTCCTTGAAGTGTAAAGTTAGGTCGTTTGAGATTAAAAAAAATTTTTTTTAAATGCTTATTTGTGTGTGTGAGAGAGAGAGAGAGAGAGAGAGAGAGAGAGAGAGAGAGAGATCGTGAGTGGGGGAGGGGTAGAAAGAGACAGAAACAGAGTCCAAAGCAGGCTCCGGGCTCTGAGCTGTCAGTACAGAGCCCAATGCAGGGCTCAAACCCATGAACTGTGAGATCATGACCTGACCTGAAGTCGTATACTCAAACAACTGAGCCGCCCAGGCGCCCCTGAGATCTTTCTTTTTTAATGCTGATATTTATTACTATGAAGTTTCCTCTTAAAACTGCTTTTTCTGCAGTCCTAAATTTTAGTGTATTTGTTTCAAGACATTTTTTAGCTGTTATTTCTTTAATAAGCTTTCTACTCCTCTCTCTTTTGTCTCAAGGACCCTTTTATATTGGTCCTCTTATGGTGTCTCATAAATTCCTTAAGCTATCTTCACTCTTTTGCATTCTTTTTGCTTGATGTAGTCTACTCCTGAACCCATCTAGTGAATTTTTCAGTTTAGTTATGTATTCTTCAGCTCTGTGACTTATGTTTGCTACTTTAAAATATTTTCTCTTTGTTAAAATTCTTGTTTTGTTTATGCAATTCTGTACTGACTTCAGTGAAAATCAGTCTTAGTAGTATTTTGAAATTATTTATGTATACTGTGACATAAGGAAGTAATTCTTAATGTCAATAAAAGAATTTCAGTGTAAGAGAAGTGTAAAAGA